ATACACTGTATATATATATATATATATATATATATATATACCCATGACTATTATCCTGAATTATTATAACTATGACTATTATAACATTATATTTGCCACCTATTATTTAGCTTCTCAAGTACAATGTCACTGAAAAAAACTGTAGTTAATGAATTTAAAGTGAGAGACTTCATTCAAAATCATAAATCCTACAGACCCACAACAATTAAACAGTATGTATGAAGTTTTGCTTACTATAGTCGAGGTCATAGCCGTGGAGATTGTCTTGGACCCCAGGGGGTGCAGCAGGACATCTATGATGATCTTCAAGAAAATAACATGCAATGTGTCACAGAGCCAACAATATTACATTGAATTTACAATAGAACAAAGGGTTTAATACAAGGAAGCAAGCTAGAGCATAGCTAAAGAATATACATAAAAAATCTTAAGGTAATATATTGTGCAATAATGCATATGAAATAATTATCATGATTAAACAATAATTCCCCTTTGTTGTGTTTTTTTCCTGTTCCTTCTGAAATCACTTATTACCAATATTTGTAAATGACGTCATTAAGTACGTTACAATGAATTCTTTCAAGGTTAAATAAATTAACTTAGCTAACTTCCAATCACCCATTGACAAATTACCAGCAAAACAAAACTATCAAAAACTGTTATCAACACAAAAATGTGGTTAAAAACCCACACTTATGTAAAACAAGAGCTCAATTGTAACGTAAACAACTTAACGTTAGCTCTTCTGAAAACGGTTCAGTCAGATGCTAACGGACTTTATCGAAGACACAAAACTATTTCTATAAAGTAAATATTCAACAGAAGTGTATCAATTACACGTAAGACATATATCAGGAAGGTTTGTATGTATTATTTGTGTGATTTTGGTAACTAGACTTACCTGAAAGCAGAGAAAACAACAGTGAGAGACGCTAGTTTGCTGTTTGTCAGTTGATGGGTTTCCTCGTTTCCATGGTTTCCATCTGCTCGCGCGCGCTCCTGTCTTTGAATCAGATTTGAATGCGACTCGCGCACGTACGCCCATATTAAAACCATAGAACACGTCAAAAGGCACGCAGCATTTAAATAAACATCTAGAATTATAACATTTAACAATTTAAAATATCATTAATTTTATATAATGAATTTAAACTCATTGTGTAGTTGTATGACCCATTCAGTTGACAATTATGCTTTTTAATACCATTTTGCTTTTACTTTTATTGTAAAGCAATTTCATGACATCTGTATTATATAAAGGCCTACATGTAATATAAAGTCAAGAGCAACGTGTAATATAAATATGTAGGTAACATAAAGTGTGGAATGAAACTGCAACAGGCCCGTAATTTCATTACCATCTTTATATAAAGAGTGCTTTCTTATTCTCTTATATATATATATATATATATATATATATATATATATATATATATATATATATCTTAAAAAAATAAAACATTTTGAAACAATTTAAATATATATATATATATATATATATATATATATATATATATATATATTTAAATTGTTTAAATTTTTTTTAAAGAGAATTAAAATTACCAAGTTATTAGTGCTTTCTTATTCTCTTTTTATATATATATATATATATATATATATATATATATATATATATATATATATATATATATATATATTAGTGCTTTCTTATTCTCTTAATATATATATATATATATATATATATATATATATATTTTATTTATTTTTTTAATTTTTAAGAGAATTAAAATTACCAAGTTATTATGATTAGAGGACGTACTGACGACATTGTGGGCATGTGGGCAAATCTAAATGTGGGCTACCTAAACTAAACCCGCATGGGCCCAAAGGTGCAAAACCTGCTCATGGGCCCGAATGGGATGGCCCACAGTGGGCCATCATGGGCTTAATGTGGGCAGCCCGCTAGTGTGGGCTGCTCACTGATAGCCCGCAGTGAGCCCAAAGCTGTGGGCCTCGTCTGGGCAACCCGCACTGGGCCTGTTTAGGTTTGGCATGGGCTGGCCCTAGCCCACTGTGCCCACAAAAAGCCAGCGTCGGCCCCGCAGGGGCATGTTTGCAGGGTAGTGCATTCAAATGTGCTGGTGTAATAACTTGAAAAATTTACTCAACCTCGTGTCGTTCCAAACCCTTATGACTTTCTTCTGTGGAACATAAGAAATTGTTAAAAATGTCTCAGTGTTTTTTCGCCCATACAATTAAAGACAATGCGGACCAATTTTGTTTTACACCCCAAGCCGCGTTTCCACTGCCGGGCCAGGGCCGGGCCGTGCTAGTGCGTGCCAGGGCCAGTCGCGTTTCCACTGTCACTTCCGGGGCTTGATCGGGGCTTCCTCGGGGCCAACGGCCAGGATTTCTGGCCCGTCGAATACCTTGGGCCAGAGGGGGCCAGCTCGGGCTAGAGGCGTGCTCAAGGTAAAAGGCGGAGTTTATCGGTGTTATGGAACGTTATGATCTGAAGCAAGATGCACATAGGGGTGTCCATGTTTAACCGATTAACCGTTTAAAATTGCATAACATTTTAATTTGAACTGTATGCCATGCCAAATGCTGCGCAACAATATATAGGCTATATATAGCTACATATCGACGAATTTTCAGATATTTGTTTGATTTTTTTTTGCCCCTTAAACATTTAAAATATTTGACAAATTAATATGAAAAAATATATATTTTACTGGTTTTCTGAGGCCAAATTAGAACCTGGAAATGATATTTTCCCCGCAGTGCTGAATGAGAAGAGCCGTAGCCACAGCCTACAGAAAGGGGATTTATGGGTGATTTATAGGCTATAATAAATGTGTCTGATAATAAAATAATATAAAATAACGAGGCATTAATTGTTTATTAATAAGCTATTGTTTTCTAAATGATTTTCGGCTAAAAACATATCTCCATCTCCGGATGCACATTTAGAGAGAAATTAAGCTACATAAACATAGAAGATATTGGCTTTCGATTCGAATTTGTTCGTTTTAAATTGGACATTTAAAGCTTTAATCTACAAAGGATATAACCCCTGCAGACTAAAGCTTTAAATGTCCAATTTAAAACGAACAAATTCGAATGCGGTGGCTGTTTCAGGTCTCGCGCTTCAGTTCACGGAGATCATGAAGCGCGCCTTGATTAATTGTTAAAGCACAACGTTTTCTTGTTATAAATAAATGTATTTGCGAATAATGTATTATTATTTTCTGTATGACCAGAAATTAAAGAGTATTTTAAGTTGTTTCCACTGAAAGAAATGCAATGAAACTGTTCACATGGGCGTCTCGCAGCCATCAGTGCGTGCTCCACACACACTGGATATGCGCTGATATTTGTCAAAAATATTGTGTTTATTTGTGCTCTATTCCTTTTTTGGATAAAGGCGTCTTCTACATATGCAGCCTAATAAAATGTTACAATAATGATGATGATGGTTATTATTATTATTATTATTTGCAGACACGGAGTTTTTGTGAAATGGACGTTTTGCTTATTTTCAATTGGCAATTTCAGTTTGAAGGGTGATGGAAATGGGGCTTTAACTGCTCCGTACTTGCTGCGTTTTATTTCTATAAATTAATTTCGTTTCAAATGGGGTCCAATCAGTTATTAAAGGTGTTAAAAAATTAACTCCGTATCTCGAGGTTGCGGCGCGCACACTATGCACCGAGTATTAACCGATGGGCCTCGGTTAACGATTAATGAATAACTTGAAAACGTGCCCGCAGCCCTACTTGTTATATCGCGCAAAAAATCGCTGCTTGAAATGGAGAATCGCCTGTACTGGTCTCGGGACACTATTGTAGCCACTACGGCAGTTGAGTTAATATACATGCTATCTTCCTAATTTAAAAAATAAATTAATTCATAATACCCGCTGAAATGGGTTGGGTTTTATGACGTTTGATCCTGAAAGGCGTGTTAGGGGTGGGGTCTGGGGCAGCGCTGTGGGGCTACTGGCCCGGCAGTGGAAACGCAAGCCCGGTGCTTGAGGCCCGAGGCCACTAGCTCGGCCCGGCTCGCTGTTAGCTCTGGCCCAGCCCTAGCCCGGCAGTGGAAACGCGGCTACTGACTTTTACTGTATGGACTAAAACAAGCCACAGAAGAAGAAGAGGAAGAAGAAAGAAAAAAAAAAACTGGTTTGGAAAACCATGAGGGTAAGAAAATGATGCTGATGTCATTGAGAATGACTTTATAGTCTAGAATTGTTTTGACCCTGATTATGAGACAGACTTAAAGAAGGGTTTAAAGTAAGGAGTCACTAATGTAGATTTTGTTGAAATATATACTATATTCCTGAGTACAAAGGGGAGATTGGGAAGAACCTTCTCCCGAACAGCAGGCGGACAATGGGCACTGCGATCATGGCTTGAACAGGGCTGCCACTGTAAGATCGCCGACAGGGTAAACACCACAGCCTCGTAGGACAAGGAAAATATAAATAAGGCCTTCTGCGATGAGCCCCGTGACACATTTCATCATTTCGATGGACGAAAACGCATGTATTTCAAGCAAAACGCAACACGTACCTGGATGAAAACAGACGTCCCGTGTGCACACAAACACACACACACATACATAGACTGAAAAAAAAACAAACAGCAAGGCTCACACCTGCGCAAGTCGCTTCTGATTTCAAGTATGCTACATTACCAAATTACACACAACCGATACTGTCACTTTAAAATGGGTTAAACACAGTATTCACAAATGTACATTTAAGGCTTAATTGTTTAGCACTAACAATAATAGCAGCAGTAAAGCACTTCTGTATTAATAACAATAAATCAATAATAATAATAAGAACAACATTAATAATAACAATATATTAAGGTGATCAAGTGAAATGGTTTCTAAGATGAACAGCTTCACACACAAGTCCGAACCTCCCCAAGAGTGATTTTAGTCCCCACTGAATACAGAAACTTGGCCAGGCCTTGGACCTTTATAAGCAAATACTTCTTTTTTTTAATTTTTTTTTTATTACTAAGCAGTTTCACTGTGCCCAACCTGTCGCCCATTAATCTGTTAGAGAACACTATCTTTAGTAAACACATTACTTCACAAAAGTCTGTCGGAGACCACCATATTAATGACACATTCAGATTAGAGCAATTTGGTTACATATCCCCTGACATCCGATGCATGTTACTTCCTACTGGGAATCTGAAGGACTGGCTGTCCTTAAACATTTGGGAAGTGTAATTCATGGTACAGTACAGTTACAGTAATGCTACACAGATGTATCAAGGCTGACGGAGAGCCCATTTCCGATGCCAGCCGCCACCATGCGCTTAAAAAAAAAAAAAAAAAATGAAATAAAAAAAATTGTTCACACAGTACCCTGGAGGTCAAGGTCAGGCGGAGAACGGGTTGCTTTGGGCTGACCGGTCTCTCTGAAACGGGCGGCTGCGCTGTGGAGACCGACACGTACGGCATGCTACTAGACAGACGGAAAATGAAAATTACACACTCAAAAACAAAATGTACCGAAGCAACACAAGTAAAGGCCATTTTTCCACACCGGTCCACTGTTTTACTCCCTTTAGCTATCCGAACTCCGAGGCCTAATACTCCCTGACCCTCTCCAACATACATGTGTATATATTAACTATACTCAATATTCTGATTTATATATTAAATCATATATAAACACATACATGTTTGTCTTTTTTTGTTTGTTTTTGTCCTCAGAGGACATGCGTTGCCCTCAGGCTAAAGAAGCGTTCGCAAAGAACCCCTCGCTCTTCCGCCCGCACAAAGGAGGACAGAGAATCCGAGAAGTGTTTCAAAGAAAGGGGCTCTCGTCGTCACAAGAGCTAGAGCGCCAGTACGCGCTCGTCTCTTCTGGAGTCCGAGATGAATGCGAGATGACTGTGGCCGGGCCGAGACTGGGTGCTCAGAGAAGTTTCGCTATGTTAATATATGTGCAGTAGAAGGGATGGACACAAACTCCCTCAGGATGTTCTTGGCCATCTCAATATTGTTCTGTGCAATCATAAGGGCTTTTTGGATGTCCTGATGGGAATAGCCCTGGCTCAAGAGGTGCTCGATCTCACTGCTGATCTGCTGGCTTGGCCCTGGACTCACTCCGGGGGGAACCGGGCTGGGCCTGCGATCCGAGTTGATGCGACGGGGGAGAGGCTTGGGAGGCCGCTCGGGGGCTTCAGAGGAGTCCATGACTGCCAAAGACAATTTACAACAAAAATTGTCTCTATATTTAAACACTGAAAGTCTGAGATCATGGTCACAATGCAGTTGTTATTCTAAATTAAACAAACCATGACACTCTCATGGGGCTGAAATCTAAAATAAATATAGGTGTAAAATGGAAATTATACAGCACATTTACTTTGTAAATATATTTAAACTTTACAATATAAATCAAAAGATTGGACATAGTTGACTGATGACTTTTCTCATGATCTAAAAACCTTTTCATGCTTAAAAGCAAAAAAAAAAAAAAAAAAAAAAGCCAACATGTGAAAAGAAAATAGGATGAGCTGGATAAAATAAAAATAATAGTAGAGGAATATTTTACTTGAAAATCTAAAGACGGAAATTAAATAAGTACTACTAAAATAATTAATTGAAGAAAAAAAAAGAAAAAAAAGATACCCCTTATATATATATAACCATATATATATATATATATATATATAGAACCACTTAAAGATATATTTAATACCCACAACTACTGAAAAGGGAAGATATTAAAATATTATTTAAAACATGAATAAAAATAACATGCATGTGGTTTATGGGGACTCTCCATATATACACTTTGTACAGAATAAAATCTGTCACCTAACCATCACAGAAAACATTTTTGGAATTTCAAATAAATCCCTTTTTACCAATCACTGTTTGTTTTTAAGCCATTTGGTTCACAAAGACATAGAACGTCATAAATCATGTTTATGTAGTATTACCCACGTCATTATACACAATTGTGTCCCTATAAACCATATACAAGAACACACACATAATTAAATAAAAATAACACTGGGCATGACTTACTTGCGGTTGCACCAAGCTCACTGTCTATGGAAAGACGACTGAAGGCTGAGGATGTGGGGTTACCATCTGAAAGTGTGCGTCGGGCTAGGTTGGCAGGTAGATGGGGCATGGGGTAGTCATAGCTGTTCTCCTCTTCCTCCTCCTCCTCCTCCTTCTCACCACATGCACCAACATGATCCCTCAGGCCATTAGAGCAGGTCAAAGGAGGCAATTCAGAGTAATCTGAACAAAGACGGACACACAATATTTCACATGGCAGAATATACCATCAGAGTGTATGAAGATGAAGCTCTTCACACGTCACAGTACCTGAGTCTCTGGCCTGTTGTGGTCCAGAGGTGGTGAGGGCCTGGGCTTGGATATTGTACATGGCTTCATACATCTGTGGGCTTTCTGACTCCAAATCATTGAGCAAACCTCTAGAGAAGTAAACGCTGAGTTTTAGTACACAGGCAGAAATTTGTAAATGTGTGTCTTTTGGTGCTCTGCACCTCAATGGGTGGTGAATGAACTTTACCTGGGACTGAGAGAAAGTGGAGGTGGTGGTCTGGGCACAGCATCCCCCGCAGCAGAGGGCAGCACTGGTCGAGAAGACGGAGTCATGTATTCCGACTCCTCATCGTTCTCAGAGGCGTCCTCCCCTGTCTGCGATTTAACTGCTGGAAGAGGCCTGTCAGCGCAGGATGAAGTGTCAACACACATGTGACTGCTTTCTTTTTCTAACAGGTTTGAGCGCAAGAAATCCTTATTGCTACAGGAACAAATGGGCAGAGCAAGATTTGGGTTTTGCCTGTGATATATACTGCAATATGAAAAAAATACAGAACATTTCCCCAGGTGACTTGAATAGCTCGGGGATAATTTGGGTTAGTGGCACCTACCTGATTGCCAAGGAATAGATGGCATTAGCTGAAGCAGATGGCTTTACTTTCGGGTTGTCGTACTCTGACCCAGAAATGGATGATACGAAACTCTGCACATTGAGCACATGAAGGTTAGATATAAAGAAATACAACAAATATAACTGGGCTTATGCCATGTTGTAAATATGGGATGCGTGTCCTCACCAGCTGGTGGTCAAGGCTAGGGGGACCATTGTTTCGTGGGCCTTCTGTTCTTGCGTCGAGCGTGGAAGGAAGTTGCAGAGGCAGAGAGTGTCTGTTAGAGAGTTCTCGAGATCCGCGAGACTCTCCGCTTGCTGGTGGCTGTGATGGGGCTTTGGGTACGGGCCGGGAGTTCCAGTCCGGCATGTTGCGGTTCGGAGGGGCAGGAGGCAGTTTGTCGCGAGGAGGTTCTCCTGGTGTACTGGGGAGAGGGCGTCTTGGGAGCCGGTTGTCAGAGCCGGTAGGGTGAGGTCGGTCCGGGGGAGGTGGTGGCGGCAGGTCTCTTAGAGCCGGGGGCAGCGGTAATGGCTTGTCCTTGTGATGGGATGGGGCCTGGATTGTGAATGATAAATGAAGTGTTTAACAAGAATGCTTAATACAATCCAAACTGAGGTAACTGAGGGTAAAAAAAAAAAAACTTGGCGAAACATTCCGTGCAGTGCATTTACCTTAGATGTGGCCCCTGGACTTGAGGCCCCGGGAGGGTTGGTGGGTCTGAGAGGAAACAGATCCAGCCGAGGAGGTACTGGGGGAACGGCGGCCTGAGGGGCGACTGACAGCGGTGAGGGCGGCCTCTCCACCTGAAACAAGCCAAAGCATTCAGCATACATCTATACTGATGCTAGATCCTGCAGCCATCATTTCAAAGCCGTTACAGCAATCTGTGGCTGAGGAATAGTGAAGTGTCTGCAGGAAATTTGGTTTGGATTTGTGGGAATTCCTATATTCAACTTCAAAATAGCATCAAACACATTAAAAATGTATATTTACTAAGGCAGGTGACAACTAAATCAATTCTGTTCACTGAAAAAAAGGTTGGTGACATCTTTTTGCAGGTTTAGCAAAGCTAAATAGTCCATAATATCATTAAGAGTAAGTTATTCTCACTTTAGAACCGACCAGCTTGCTAATCATAAAAGGAGAATCCTCCAAACGATCATCATCGTCATCGTCATAGCTGGGCGAAGGGGCTCCCTCGGCTCCAAACATGCCCCTGCAGCCTCCGTAGGAGCCTCCGCTGTTGGGGTCCTTGGGATCAAAGGGGTCAACAACGATGGGCTCGGTGCCCTTAATTTCACAGCGACAGAACGGGCAACCCTGTCCTTCTGATTCCTATGAGAGAAATGAACCGAGAATGAAGAAAATATGCACGTGTCTAAACAGATGGATGGCTGTCGGGTCTTCAGCTTTACCTGCCAGGCTGTGAGACAGGAAGTGCACATGAGGTGGCCACAAGGCTCGATCTTCACATCTTTGTCATTCTCAGCACAGATCTTACACAGCTGGAAGGTTGAGCCCATCTCACAGTAGAGTTCATATTGCTCCTGTAGGAGATGAATGATGGGTTTTATCCAAATTAATCAAGATTCAAGATTTAGGTGTCTGACTGATAGAATGAAAACAAAAAACAGACCTGTGTGACTTTGATATGGTCTTGAGGCGACGGCTCACACAGACCTGTAAGGTCAGGGTTCTGAGTGCGGCCATCTGGGAAAAGGTAGCTAAATAGGAATAAAGGGTCTGTAAGATAAACTTAAGATCTGAGAGGGTAGAGTGTGACATTTACTGCTTCATTAAGCATCTAAATGTGTGAATGGATGATCGTTGTGCTGAGTTTTAGACTGAGCCGGTGTTTTGACTTACAATCCTTCCCTAAAGCCATCGATGAGGGCCTGGAAGAGGGGTTTGTTATGAGGAATGGTCTGCAAGATGTTCCCATCAGCCGTGACATAACCGATAGCCCACTGGCCGAGCCGCGTACAGCTCAGCCTGAAGATGTAGCTGTAACCAAGGGCAAAAAGTTACCGTTACAACAGACAATTATGACACGAGTTAAAAGAGACAGGACAATCTAACAGTGTCAGATCAAGTCATCGTTGAGAAACTGGTCTCAGTGCATTAGCGTTGGTCGTATGATTGCTTTTCTTTGCAATGAGAGTGCTAGTGACATCATGGTACTTTTACAATACATCTATTGATGGGAGGTACCACGCTGTCCTTCGGTCCACTGAGAGGGGGGATTCAAGCGACTAACGGTGCATGTAACTCCTGTCACTGTTTGTGTAAGAGTCGCAGATAATGCTGCTGTGACTGATGGCACCACGAGCATGTTTGAATGAAAAACACTTAATGGCTGGAGCCCAAAGACACCAAGATCATCGAGTGCTGAGATTAAAGGGAGGATTCACCCAAAATGTTTTATTCTGCCATCTTGTTGTTCAAAACCAATGGTGTCCCATACTTGGAATTTGTACTCTGCATGTCACCCATCCAAGTGCACACAGACACCTGGAGCAGTGAGCAGCCATTTTTACAGCGGTGCCCGGAGAGCGATTGGGGGTTAAGGTGCCTTAGCCAAAGTTGTGAGTAATGAGAGTGGAAGAGAGCTCTGTTCATTCAGGCCACAACTGCACCCATTTGACTTAATAAAAGATATATATTTTAAATAAAGTTTCTCAAATTAAAACTTAAATTAAAAACTCTGTTTTGCCTTGAGATACTGCTTATGTTGACACTGTGAGCATATACATATATATGTATAAGTAAGATATATAAGTTAAAATAAAATAAGATAAAACAATGTGAAAAAAGATAAAATAGTCATCATCAAAAGTTTACTGGTTTGGAACGACATGAGAAATTATCTAAATGACAAGATCGCTTTTTATTTGTGTGTGAACAACCCCTTTAACAGTGACGTGTGCATGGATGAGGGGTGCGGACGGTGTGTGCATTACCTGCCGGGCTTGTGGATGAATTTTTGCAGACGGGCTTTAACTTCATCATAGGTAAGAAAAGCCATGTACCCCGGATGAGTCACTGCCAGGCTGTTCCAGTTTCTTAACAGTGACGACCATGGCTACATAAAAAAAATAAAAAAATAAAGAGAAAATACACAGTTAGTTTTTTTTTTTCCTTACATTTTTAATTTTTCTGACAAAATACTCTTATATTTTATACTTAGTCTTATAGTTTTTTGAGATGACATCTAAATATCCATTTAATAGATGACCAGAAGTCTGAGTCAGAGAGACAGAGGATTTGGGGGATGGTGTGGTGAGTCACTTTGTATGCCAGTGACACCAGAAAACTAAATGAACTCAGATCGCTGTATATAAACATCACTTAATGTCAGTTAAATTAGATGCTGATGTGAAGCCACACCTAACAACTGAGATAAAAATGTGCAGTGACGCATACTGACGAATTTAAAACGCACATCAGTCTTCCTTCCTTTGCATAAGCTCATCCAAAACCACAGGACTTTTACAATCATTCACAGTTTATCAATAGAGACAAATGGTCAATATATATTCCATCAAGGGAGCAGGTGACACTATTTTAGTTCAGTGAGACAATATTATTTCTCAGAACAGCAAATTTTAAAAGGACTTCCTCTGACTGACAAACACTTCTGAGAATATAGACATGTTCCTTTTTTTTTTTAATTGAGTGAGCTGAAACCGATTGACAGCATGCCCATGTCTTACGCACGCAAATTTCTCTGTCTAAAGATGTCAGAGTAAAAACTTACTTTCAGATCTATAAAAATGGGATTCTGACAATACCCTTGGGATTTTTAGCCAAATATGAGAGCCTGACCTAGTGTGGTAACTATTCGTGAAATAAATTAAAAAGATTTGATATATAAGAGAGGGTAATTTACCTAGAAGAGCTTTTGCAATAAATTAATACATTTTCTTTAAATACAAGGCTCTCTCCTTTCATGTAAAGATGACCAAGCTAAAGAATCATATAAAATATGTGCGTCTCTGACTCTGCACCAGAAACAAAGTGTAAAGCAGTGTGATACACAGTCTATTTGTCTAAGTAGAGATGTAGCTGCAGTGTGCATATATTAAAGATCACCATAATCAATAATAGATAAGAATACACTCTCTACTATTTTCTTTGGAGCCTCATATGGAAAAAAAATTTAAACGATAGAAGAAACCTAATTTTGTCCTGAGCTTCTTCAACAACCTATCAATTTGAACATCAAATGCTAATCTTTCATCCATATACACAAGTATTTATATGAACTAACTCTTTCTAGAAGTGTGACCTTAGAGTGACCACGACTAAAGATCATGTATTTTGTCTTTTTTTAATTTAAAACCAATTATAACTGAGACAGTGAGTGCTGCAGTACTTGAAAAGCGTTCTGTAATTGCTGCTTCAATGCTTCATAAATATACTAATAAAAAATTACTGTATCATTATGTAATGTACAAATATAATTTAGCTAAATCTAGTCCATGACCTGAAAATAAAAGAGGTGCTAAAACAGATCCTTGAGGAACCCCAATATTTACTTGAAGTAAGGAATGGTGAATTGTAATTTTCCACGGACACGCATTGAGTGCGATCTGAATGATCAAACCAATTTAGAGTCGCTTCACTAAGGCCTATACACCCGAGTCTCTGTAACTGTAATTTGTGATCTACATAATCAAAAGCATTTCATAGTAAAAAGTCATGTGCTATTCGCTGATCTGTCTAAAGAAGTTATAATATCATTTGAGACTAACATAGCTGCAGTAATGGAACCACTGGGAGGAGCCAGAGGAGCTTGATTTTTTCACAGATCATCTGTCTCATACTCTACTGTCAGGACATAATGACAGTTAACAAACACGTACATTTTTTTTTTTTTTACAAAAGTTACCTAAAGCAGCTTTAAGGTAAAAATTACCAGCAAGACTAAAAGACCATGATCCATCATGTTTGTTGAGAACATGGTATGTAGTGACGATTTCTGTGGAAAAGTGGTCTCAGACACCTTCGAGCGGGCTGCATTCACACATTTTTATCACCTGAAAACCCCCAAGACAATGATGTCAGACAAGTAGTTGCAGAGCAAATATGGGTCAACCAATCCACATAGGGACCGACAACGTTCCCCCTCTCAGATGACATTCTCATTATTAAAGATCTTCAGTATTTACAACCATAAACCGAGATGCCTAATCATGCTTGTGTACGCTGAGCAAACACATTAAACAAAACCGGTTTTCATACTGAGGTATTAGTCTCATAAAGGTCCACTCAGGCCCTGTTTACACCTGCTATTAAGATTGGTTTTGGTCAATCAGATCACAAATACAAAAAGGAGACACATACCCGTTTACATCTGGTGTTTCAAAGCGTCTCTTTTGTCCACTTTCAACCACTTCTATCCTGATTCATTTTAGGAGAGGATCTATGAGCCAGTAAATGTATGTGTTTTTTCAGGTCTTTTGATCTAATGGACAAATTAAGCTTACGCAATTTACATATGAACGTGTCCGGAGACGACGGAAAAACACACGGAGCTTTCGTTTCTGCTCTGACAGCTGCAAGTGCTTGGTACGCAGCAGTTAAAATCTCGTCTGGCAAGCATGCTTCCCATAATGTTTACGCCTTAGGTCATTAGGCGGAGATTAGGGGGTCTTTTGCGGCTGTTTGAACACATTCGACCACATTACGATTTACACTACAAAAGCAATCCAGTCAAATTAGTTTTCAACTACCTCTGAAAGTAGTTGAAAGTGGACAAGCTCAAAATGTTTTAGACCCAGTTTACACCTGTATTAAGCATCATCCACATGACTAAAATGCATCTAAATACCAGGTGTAAACAGGGCCTCAGAGTCAAAAGGCTTGTCGAATTGAAGGAATAAAAAAAGCCTGTGACTGGCTGTCCAGCAGGGTGGGTTCATTCAGATGCTGATGAGAAGTGCGACCTTGCAACGTGGAGCTTCGTCAAAGAGCTTTGCGGGCTCTCTGTAAACAGCCAGTCTATTTCTGGCTGCTGGGCTGGTTGAATGAAGCAGAGGTACGGTGCAGCACAAGCGCTGTACTCTGCAAATGAAACGGGCAAAGGACCAGCCATGCCACAGCCGTTTAAAGCTCTCTAACAGACCAGCATACTGACTTGAATTATGATGTGCTGTCAATGTTAGCTCGGTTAGTGAACGCTTTAAAAAGGCCGTATTCGAGTATGGCTGCATCAGCCATAAAAAATTATCTTGACCCCCCTTTTTCTTCAAATTAGCTCTGAAGTGAAGTAAGGGAGGCTAATTAAAGGATGGATGTGATTATGGCCTGTTGAGGAGAGAGAGGATGAGAAAGCCCTGGACCGCTGTGATATCTGTGCTGGAGCACTCTGAATAATGAGCTCATTACACAGACATCACTGTGCTGCCAAGCAGCCGTCAGATGATGCATTCAACAGCTGCTATATTACAGATTCCAATTATAATCACAATAGTAAACTGTTCCATGGAAAAATCAACATGACTAGATTTTTACATTTTCTGAAGACAATGTGAAGACGAAGGAAAATTCATCATCAGGATGCGGCGGATGGTGCCAGGGCATTGCAATGCATTTGTTTCGGGACACTAACATTCAAAGCATGGGGTCAGTAAGATTTTTATTTTTTATAAGAAATGAATTCTTTTTAATGCAAGAATGCATTAATTTATATCATTTTATATTATAAAAGATTTCAAATATAAAGGCTGTTCTTAATATGCTTTTCCATCGCAGGAATAAATCACATTTTAAATACATATTTAAGCAATATTGCTGTTTTTACTGTGTTTCACTCAAACAAATTTAAAATAGAACTTTTTAAAAATCTTACAGACCCCAGACTGTTGAATGGTAGTTTATACATAGATGTCAATCTTGCGTATTATACGTCAACCCTTATAGTTAAATATTTAAACAAACCCCAACCCCAAGTATGAGAAATAGTAATCGCGATTTTGCCCAAGCAAGCACCACTAATTATGTGGTGCCAGTATAAAAAGTATCAAATCAAGTAAAAGAACAGAAAAACCTCAAACATCTCTGTTCTGCATTGTTGCTCTCATTGGGTATATAATTAGAGCAACAACAACAAAAAAAAAAAAAACACGCGCAGAGGTTAGCAGAAGTTGTCATTAAAATAGGTCAAAGAGATCTCTCTTCTAAAGACGAGGCACTTTCAAATTGTCTTTCGCCCCTACTCTCAGGAAATTGTGTGCTCGGATGAGTGCAGACAAGCCTGTTTGAGCTACAAAAGGCGATAAGAGGCCTCCATTCAGGCTGGCTTTCAGCCATGAGAACTGAAGCTTCGGCACTGACATGCACGTTAAACAACGCCTCCATACCCACAGCCACAACAATAGTCATTGTCAGACCTTCCTCTACACAGAACTCAGGGACAATGGAGCTAGTTTGTGCTTGGAGGAAGTGATGAAGTGATTGAACGGCGCACCTGGAAAAGCCTGGTGAAGATGTCAAACTCAAAGACGGAGATGTAGTCATTGCAGGTGAGGTCAATGGTAGATTTAAGCGCCATGGCCTCCAGGCCCGAGCTGATGGGGTGAAACTCATGCAGGGCCTGCCGGAACACTTTCCAAGGCACAATGGTCCTGAAATTCAAAGAAACGTAGGTTATGTCACCAGAATCACTAACTGTTTTGCTTTCCTAAAGATTGTCAAAGTCCATCTTCCTTTGTTTTTTCATGGAACATGGCGTGTTAATATGTTACGAGAACAAAGAGCACATTAAGCATTCTCACTTGTCCCCGAAGGATCTTCTCCAGAACTCTGCGGCGTCCGCTTTGGTGATTCTAAAGTTATCCCCTTGAAACAGGCCGTGGGGAAAGATGGCTTTGAGCTCCGCGAGCATGTGACTGAATATCAGCGACAATTTCGTCAGGTTCCGTCTGAAAAAGAGGAAAGAGAACAGATAGTTTCACTGAAAGGTTTGATAATTAATAATCTAAAAACAAACAAACAAACAAAAAAGCCTTAGTAATTTAATAATTATTAAAGGTATAGCGGAGGATCTTTCCGAATTTTAGAGAAGACCCGCCCTCTCCAATTTTTTAAAAAAAAATGCACATGCACAAACACAACACTCTTGCTCTCGAGAGCTAGGGAACGTCTATACGCCTTGCACAATTATGTTGCAAATTCTAAACTAACTAAAAAACATTCATAAAAAAGACAACATGTCAAATGCCCTTCCGTGTTTTATTTACTTATTATACTGATCGATTGAGTGACCGAGGACTCAAGACTGTGCAACCCTGTATCACACGAAATACGTTCTGAGGAAACTATTTTGCAAATTGCAATTACGTTACATAGCAACATATAAGCAGTGCTATTACGTTGGTCCTTAACCTAATATCTCTCATTGTTAATACGTTATTTTTATACATAGTTGCATATGGAGAAGTAGCTTGTTGCATTTGTGTAATAATAAACACACAAGATTTTAGAATATTTCAGCGTGATACCATTTACCATTTTGGACAAAAGGCTACTTTAGACAAATTGAGATGTTTACCGTGTCTATGCGGTGCATGACTCGTGCCAGGGCTAGCATTGTAGCTTGCATTAACTTTTACTAGTGATTTTAAATGGATTTCTCCAAATAGCGTGACAAACTTTACCTGTCTGGTAGAATCTTCGCGACTGCGGCATCAGTGAGAAGCCCAACCTGTGCTTTTAGCGCACGCCAGCGTGTGATATTCACCCAAAATCTCTCTGGTCTTGTTTCTATATTCTGCGGCCTTTCTCTTCTTATCATACACTTAGTAAACATTTTTTCTCTTTCGACCCTCAGCCATTTTCAAAGGAATGGCTGAAACCGTAACTCCGACATAATACACATGAAAGTGAAAACTACATAGGGATGAGCACGTAGCCTACGACGGCCTTACGTAAACATATCACCAGAATGATTGACACTTAGGTGGACCAATAGTATAGACTACCCACCCGGAAAAAGAAAATCCTCCGCTATACCTATAAGGGGTCACGATATTTGATCAAACACTAAAAGGAAATATCTTGATCTTATCAACAGCAATATAATAGTGGTCATTTTCCCCAAATCAGCACAGAAACATGTAAACGTCAGCAGATTCTGGAGTCTGGCCTGGTGATTGGGTATTTCTGTGGCCAGAAGGCATAGTGAGGGAGTATCAGGGACTGAGGTGGACGCTCTGAATGCCTGCTGCATTTTTCTGATTCCACTGACTCTGGGCACATAAGCCCAAGGCAGGCAGGCGAGAGCAGGGAGGGTCGCGCTACACGGCAGGGGGAGGAAGTGGAAAGAAAGCCATGATTTACAGGGCAGCACAGTGGGGGATTGTACAAGCTCTCCAGCCTAGGGAATTGACATGCACAAGAGAGAGTCTGAGTGTGGCAGTGCCGCAGCTGCCTCCAAAAACTATGAGAATAAGAAAAAAAGAGAGCAAGACCGAGTGAGAAAAAAAAAAAAGGGTGTTACAAAACTGCAAAAAAAATGACAGGAAGCAAAAGAGAAAAATACGTGTGTGCAAGCAATGTTTTTGATAACCATTGTTATGAATAAAAATAAAACAAATAAATAAATTATACATATGCATGCATTTTTGCTACATGGTAAACTAAAAGAAGTGGTTACACTTTATTTTAAGGTGACGTACGTTCACTTACTACTTAGAAGGGTTGCACGGTATACGGTACTACTAAAACTTCAAAATACCAGTGAAGCCATTGTAATTTTTTAAACGGTAGTATCATCAAAACAGTAGTACCGTAAGAAAATGTTGTACATGTAGCAGGTCCTCTTTAAAACGTTAATTTGAACGCACATGCCTGCAAAAACATAACAAAAGACAAAAACAACATTTTTTGAGTGCCATTGCCTTGCTACTGTGCCCTGTGTAGTAAACACGGTGTATAATTAGTGCCTTATTGAGTGTTTCCCAATGCTTGAATGAGATAAAGTTGCAATTGCATGTCGTTGTTCGCACTGCAGTTTATCAAGAAAAAGGATCTGAAATTATAAATTAACAGCTCAAGCATCACTTAATCAGCATCATAATATCGTTATTTAAGAACGTATTCTCACATTTTTTTCCGTTTCTCACATTTTGTTCCACTTCTGGAACAGTTGTAATAGTTTAATTACAACTAATTTAAATACATTCATCAACATATGGACTTTGTACTCGGCTCTTATTAATCATAATAATGTGAATGAGTTTACACTGACTTCATTTGATTGGTAACAATAGCCAGTTTTTCATTCCAATTAATTAAGTATTCTGAAGAAAATCTGGTCCGTTTTCATTTACATCCATGTATTCACGCAAGTTCATTTTTCATGTTTGGTTCATTTTGTAGATTTCTAGCATGGTATCATGATGTTTCAGCTGGTATAGTATCGGAAGACATTTTTATGGTATCGTGACAACCTTAAAACTGATTATTATTAATTAACTACGTGTACTTATCATAGAGGCACGGTTAGGGTTTGGTTTATTATACATAAAATACTGTTATCGCTATACATGTAGTAGTAACGTAAATACGTCACCTTAAAATAAAGTACATGCCATCCAACATTTTGAAAAACCACTGTCCTCACAGCCTGGGTTTACTCCTTTATCTATGGCTTTGGGAACAGTTGTTGTTTGTGGCAAAAGGATGCCAATGTTCCTTCTGGTTAAGCTGGCTGTGCCATGCTTACTCACTCCACTTAGACATATAAGAGAAGTTAAGCAATGTCATTTGTTTGGTGAAGCTGCAGGCCTCATAAAGACCGGCACAAAATGTTTGCGAACGTGCATCTTTGAAACCATGAGGGAGAGGAGAGGATTTTGTTGGGAGATGCAAACTAACTAGGGCACAGATGCAGAGAAAGCCAAAGCTCATGCAGCAGGACCCACTAAATCACGCACTAAAGCTGTCGTATTGAGGGCTGTGTTTGGAAGCAGCACTCAGTCAGAGTGTCACTCTTCAGAACAATATATAAAATGCCCCCAAACAATCACAATGAATGACGTTTCTAATGCCCAATGAGGCCTTTGAACAGGCTAGTTCATATGAGACTAATATATCATGTATTCAAATGTATATGCATTTAGAGCTGTACGTTAAAAGATAGCGATCTCGATTCAAACACCCACATGATCTCTGCGATGTCTAGTAAACCTTTGACGTGTACGATCACGGCGAGCATTCAGAACTGTGTTTGTGCTGCCGCTGAGCCAGAGAGAGCAGTTGTCATGTTTACAATCAGCTACAAAAAACGCTATTTTGTTAGTCGTCCGTTCAAAATCATGATACCTCAATTTAAAAACAACAAAAAAATATGCGCTTCTCAATTTAGGCGCAGGCATGCGTTATTCGTTATTGCTTTTTCATGACTGCATGCTCCTCCTCCCCAATCTCTCGGTTGGCCGGCCTCTCCTTGCTGTTGCTGTAGGCCAAGCCCAGCCTAGATACTGTGCTTTTGTCAGCTTTCCTCCTCTTTTGGCCTGACCTTTGACCTACAGCTGGCTGCTCCCTTCCTGTTTCCTGTTTTCCATGATAAAACAGGCAAGCCAACTGGAGAAAGCGAGAGCGGTCCGCTCATGCCCACGGCTGATTATCAAAGAGTCTACAGTTCAGAAGAGTCACACCTACAGTCTCTCTTTAGCGCCTGCCTTCATTTGTCCACACACACAAAAACACCAAAGCCAGTTCGCACTAAAAGCCACGATTTCAATTGCTCAACTAAAGCACATTTCAACAGCCAACTTCCCTAAAACATTTAACATTTCCCCAAAAATATGACTTGAGGGTGTCCAAAGAAGGGACTTTCTCTGCAACTGGACACTTTCATGTCTAAACATGAGAATCGCGGATCATGGATTGTGTTTTCTTGTCAGCGCTGCCACCCCAAGACAAATTTAAATGTCCAGAACTGGCTTCACACCGGATCTGTCAGGAAGTGGTGGTGACAGCAGTTATACACTCAAGCAAACACACACACACCCCCCTTTACATAAAATATACAAACATGGTGCCCTGAGATTCAACGCACACACACAAACAAATGTTGTTTAATGATCTGACACCATCTATTCTTATCCACGGTGTCAGGTGATTTCTAGAAAAGTTGTCCTCTGACAAATGGTCTGTTCTGAAAATGCAAATAAACTGCTGCTTTAAAATAACTTTTCTTTTTGAATATATTTAAACAGGTAATTTATTCTGGTCACAACAAAGCAGAATATTCAGCAACATTACTCTATTACATTACTCGGAAATCATTTTAATATGCTGATTTGATGCTCAAGAAACATTTAATAGTAATAGTTGTGCTGCTATTGTAAAAACGTGTTTTTAATGATATATATTTTGAAGATTGTCTTTGTTGGGGGTCCAACAGGTTTGGAATGATATGAAGGTGAGAAATAATAACAGAACTGTCATTTTCAGGTGAACTATCACTTTAAATAGCAGTGTTTCAGAGGAAGAACTACTAAGAAGAACAGACTAAATGCTAGCTCAACATAACCCTTGACTAGGAAACAGGAGAACTGTGACTTTGAAAGCGAAAGAGATGGGAAAGCATGTCTGTTGTGTGCTACGTCTGGAGTGTATAATGTAAGTGGAGTAATATAGCAAGAGTATGAATGGCTGCATTATTGGTTAGTGTTCAGCAAGCCATAAATAAATACAACGTCCCACTGCTTGAGTGAGTCTCTCGACCGTGCTTAGCTGGGCTCGGCTCTGTGTGGTGAGATGCAGGACGTAGTAACTCGAGCTGCAATACAATCCTCAGACGTGTTAACAGTGTTTCCATCCGAAGCAGTCCCTGTGTGAACAAACTCATGAAAAACTGACAAAACAATCCTTTTGACGGAAGTTCAGACGCGTTTACCGATTAATGCACAAA